GTAATATGCGTAATAATATTGATAATAATAAGGGTAGTAAGGATAATGATAATAAAAGTAATAATAGGGGTAATAATATTGATAATAATAGGAGTAGTAAGGATAATTGCAGTTCCAGCGATGATAATAGTCGTAATATGCGTAATAATATTGATAATAATAAGAATAACAAGGATCATGGTGATAAAAGTAGTAATATGCGTACTGATATTGATAATAATAAGAATAATAATGATAATGATAATAAAAGTAGTAATATGCGCAATAACTAATATGCGTAATAATACTGATAATAATAAGAATAATAAGGGTAATTACAGTTCCAGCGATGATAATAGGCGTAATATGCGTAATAATATTGATAATAATGAGAATAATAAGGATAATGGTGATAAAAGTAGTAATATGCGTAATAATACTGATAATAATAAGAATAATAAGGGTAATTACAGTTCCAGCGATGATAATAGGCGTAATATGCGTAATAATATTGATAATAATGAGAATAATAAGGATAATGGTGATAAAAGTAGTAATATGCGTAATAATACTGATAATAATAAGAATAATAAGGGTAATTACAGTTCCAGCGATGATAATAGGCGTAATATGCGTAATAATATTGATAATAATGAGAATAATAAGGATAATGGTGATAAAAGTAGTAATATGCGTAATAATACTGATAATAATAAGAATAATAAGGGTAATTACAGTTCCAGCGATGATAATAGGCGTAATATGCGTAATAATATTGATAATAATGAGAATAATAAGGATAATGGTGATAAAAGTAGTAATATGCGTAATAATACTGATAATAATAAGAATAATAAGGGTAATTACAGTTCCAGCGATGATAATAGGCGTAATATGCGTAATAATATTGATAATAATAGGAATAATAAGGATAATGATGATAAAAGTAGTAATATGCGTAATAATACTGATAATAATAAGAATAATAAGGGTAATTACAGTTCCAGCGATGATAATAGGCGTAATATGCGTAATAATATTGATAATAGTAAGAATAATAAGGATAGTGATGATAAAAGTAGTAATTTGCGTAATAATATTGATAATAATAGGAATAATAAGGATAATGATGATAAAAGTAGTAATATGCGTAATAATACTGATAATAATAAGAATAATAAGGGTAATTACAGTTCCAGCGATGATAATAGGCGTAATATGCGTAATAATATTGATAATAGTAAGAATAATAAGGATAGTGATGATAAAAGTAGTAATTTGCGTAATAATATTGATAATAATAGGAATAATAAGGATAATGATGATAAAAGTAGTAATATGCGAAATAATGTTGATAATAATAGGAGTAGTAAGGATAATTACGGTTCCAGCGATGATAGTAGTCGTAATATGCGTAATAATATTGATAACAATAAAAATAATAAGGATAATGATGATAAAAGTAATAATAGGGGTAATAATATTGATAATAATAGGAGTAGTAAGGATAATTACGGTTCCAGCGATGATAGTAGTCGTAATATGCGTAATAATATTGATAACAATAAAAATAATAAGGATAATGATGATAAAAGTAATAATAGGGGTAATAATATTGATAATAATAGGAGTAGTAAGGATAATTACGGTTCCAGCGATGATAGTAGTCGTAATATGCGTAATAATATTGA